CATACTCAGGCTGAGCTGTCTGGCGAAATCCGTTCGCTCGGTGCGACGGTAGCTACACAGTCACCAAAAAAGACACGCACGTCATTGTCACGCAGGCCAACTACAAATCGAACGCCAAGGTCGGTCAGGCGCTTGCCCAGGAGGATTGCCTCGTCGTCAGTCTTGAGTGGGTGGACGAATCAAAGCGTCTCAACAGCAAGGCACCAGAAGATCAATTCGCGCTCAAAGACGAGGATGATTCTGATGCGGACGTTGCCCCTGCCACAAAGGCAGCTTCACCTACGCCCCCGACCGCCAACCCAGCACCAGCACCAGCCGCATCCAATGGCACCGCCAAAGGCTCACGGAACGGCGGGGCCACGCGCAAACGGCCTATCGTCGCTGTCAAAAGTGACAGCGACGACGAGGACAAGAAAAAGGCTCCGCTGAAGAAACAGAAGGCCACCAATGCCAAGCCAGCGGACAAGAAGCCCGACATCGTCGATCAAGGTGCCAAATCGGCGGACATGGTCGTTCCGCTGGATGAAGGAGTCAGTGATGTCTACAAAGTCTTCATCGACCCCAGCGGTATGATCTACGATGCCTCGCTGAACCAGTCCAACTCGAGCAATAACAACAACAAGTTCTACCGAATCCAGCTCCTTCAGGACGGCTCGTCTTTCAAGACGTGGACCCGATGGGGCCGCGTTGGTGAGTTTGGTCAGAGCGCTCTTCTCGGTTCCGGAGGGTTCGACGATGCCCTTCGCAACTTTGAGAAGAAGTTCAAGGACAAGAGCGGCCTACGCTGGGCGGATCGTGCCGAGAACCCCAAGCCTGGCAAGTATGCCTTTGTCGAGCGCAGCTATGCCCCCGACTCTGATGACGAGGACGACGCTGAAGACGACACTGAGACTGCCGCTCCAACATCGGCTCAAGAGGAGGATACCGAGGAGCAAGTCAAGATCGAGTCGAAACTGGAGCCCGCCGTTCAGGACCTGATGGCATTGATCTTTAACAAGGCTCACTTTGCCGCTACCATGACAGAGCTCAACTACGACGCCAACAAACTGCCCCTCGGCAAGCTCAGCAAGACGACCATCTCTCGAGGATTTCAGTTCCTCAAGGATATGGCTGAGCTCATGGACGACAGCACGCTAGCGCAATCCAAGTGGAACATGACGGCCCATGCCGCTACGGAATACCTCTCCAACACATTTTACTCTATCATTCCACACGACTTTGGCCGCAATCGCCCACCGGTCATCGCCACGACCGCTCAACTCAAACGGGAAATTGACCTTCTCGAGAGTCTGTCGGACATGAAGGCTGCTGCCGACATTATGAAGATGGACCGCAAAAAGACCAGCGGGTCTGATATTCACCCCCTTGACAAGCAGTTCCAGGCTCTTGGCCTTGACGAGATGACGGCGCTCGCGCCCAAGAGTTCGGAATTCGAGCAGCTCTCAAACTACCTGACCGAGACGCGGGGTGACACGCACTACATCAAGTACAAAAAGGTCGAGCAGATATTCCGCATTGAGAGGCAGGGCGAGCTGGATCGTTTCAACGATCTCGATCTTTCCAAGACTGGTTCTGACAGGCGCCTGTTGTGGCACGGTTCCCGGACGACGAACTTTGGCGGTATTCTTAGCCAGGGTCTACGCATCGCACCTCCCGAAGCGCCCGTAACGGGGTACATGTTCGGCAAGGGAATCTACCTCGCGGACATGTCGTCCAAGTCGGCCAACTACTGCTGTCACCACCAGTCGGACAACACAGCCCTCCTGCTACTCTGCGAGGCCGAGCTCGGTGATCCGATGCAGAAGCTGACCGGCTCGAGCTATAATGCTGGCGACGACGCCAAGAAGCAGGGTCTTCTGTCTACTTGGGGTCAGGGAACCACTGGCCCGCTCAAGTGGAAGGATGCCGGCGAGGTTCACCCGTCTCTGCAAGGAATAAAGATGGTAGGTCCAGATGTATGACCCGACGCAGACCGATGCTGACCCCCCTCTCCCAGCTCGATCTGAGCATGAAGCCCGGGAAAACTAACGTCGACAACGCTTACCTTCTCTACACGAGTTCATCACGTACGACGTCTCGCAGGTCCGTCTTCGGCATCTGCTCGCGTCAAGATTGGCTGAGCTTCGAGGCGTGGAGATTGATACTATGGAGAGATTTCCCAGCGGTGTTCCAGGAGCTTTTGGAGGGCTGTCAGAGGGTTTTTCTCTGTCCACAGGCACACTGTGGTTGCTACATATTTTGTGCTTGCGGTCCGGGGTGGAGCCTGCGCGGATGGATTTGGCAGCAAAGGGGCGAAGATCATAGGCGGCATGATCATTGGAGTTTGCTTCTTTTCATTTTAAAAAAAAGATGTGTCGTCTGATCGAATTCGCTAGTTTCACAAAATGGAATGGCGATACTTGCTACATCATGACGAGACCTGATTTACCTCTTCTCTCAATTCAATGCGATCCCGTCATCGACAGGTCCTTTAAACAAATACTTCACAGCACAGCCGCACGCATTCGAACCCAGCCCTCACCAGGGACAAGGTCTTGTCCAGGGTGACATCGATGCCGGGTCAAATGCAGCCGAGGCACAGCCAAGGGAAGGACACCCTGCAGGAGACCCTGATGAGGATCTACAGCACGACACTACAACACGACACCGAGGGAACCTGTTTGGAGAAACTTGGGCAAGTTTTTCACCACACTTCTATTGACACGCGTTTGCGTTTCTCTATAGTAACAAGGCCATTGTTCATCAGGCCAGACGCTTGCGACCACCCGTGTCATGGGCTCTAGATAAACCCTGCTCATTCGGGCATTGCCAGGCACGCGCGCGCCGTAATTACAAATCCACAAGTTTAGTTCTTCTTGTGGCGGAGCTTCCCACTCGTAAGCGGCGAGCATGAAGGTTTCTGACGCCACGGGTATCGTTGGGGACGACGGGACCACCAGTGTAGTACTGTAATCGCGCGTTAGTCCGGTCTGTCACGAAATTCGCAGCTGCGGTGAAGGGGGAGTTCCTACCTTGAAAGAGGCGTCGCTGTTGAGCGAGCCGACCTGGACGGTACCCTCAAAGTTAATGGTACCGTTGCAGTGGCGGGTGACAAAGTCATCAATAAGGTGCTTGTACGCCCTGGACGCGGGCTCGAGGTAGGTCTTTTCGTCGATGAGGCCGAGACGCATACCACGAAGCCAGCCAGCGGTGAACATGGCGGCGGAGGAAGCCTCAAAGTAGTTGCCCTCCTGGCCGGGGTAGGGCTCGTTCATCACGAGCCACCAGCCGTCAGAGTCGGGGTCTTGGGCGCGACGCAGACCATCGGAAAGGGTGACGAAGTACTTGACAAGGCGCTCGTAGCCGGGGTGCGCTTTGGGGAAGACCTGGATCGTCTCGAGCAGGGACAGGACGTACCAGCCCACGGCGCGGTTCCAAACAATGGGAGCGGCGCCTGTCACGGGGTCGGCCCAGACAGCCTCCTTGCCCTCGTCGTAGCCGTGAACAAGCAGGTTGGTCTCGGGCACGCGCGTGGCTGCCTCGATCTTGTCGTACTGGAGGATGATGTCGTCCCACGCGGTGGAGTTGTTGGGCTCGAAGACCTCGGTGTACTTGGCGTAGAAGCTGTCGGCCATGTAGATGCCGTCCAACCACATCTGGTTCTTGTAAATGGGGGAGCGGTGCCAGAAGCCACCAGTGGGCGTGCGGGGGTGGCGGTCGAGCATGCCGCGGATGGTGGCGGCAGCCGTGGCGTACTTCTGCTCGCCGGTACGCTCGTACCAGTAGATGAAGTTGAGTCCGATACGGTAGTCGTCGAGCGAGTAGTGTTCCGGGCGGAAACCGACAATGGTGCCGTTCTCCAGGACGACCTTCTCGTCAATCTGGGCACGGTACCAAGAAAGGAGGGTCTCGTTGCCGTAGAGCTCGTAGGCGGCCTCGTAGCCATTGTAGACGACAGCACGGCCGTACCAGTAGGCCCTCTGGGTCTCCCTGTTGTTGCGGATCCACGAGTCGGCCATGGTCTCGAGGATAGGCTCGGCGACCTTAGAAACGGCCGCGGCGGTGGCGCCGACGGCGAAGAAGAGGGCGGATGTCTTCATCTTGTAAGGCTGAAGAAGTAAATGCTCGTCGGATAGAGAGAGAATCGACGATGAGGAAGGGAAAGCGGGCCATGGGGGGACGCGTTGGCAAGCTTCTCTTTATACACGCGTCGAGAAGCCCCTCAAGAAATTGTGGCGGTCCCTATGGCGTCTGACACATGCAATCCTTTCCCCAATTGCCCAATCAACTACATGGTCATTTGGCAATGCGGACGGAATGACCGCCAGGGGTAGCGGTCGTGACTGCGTGCTGTCGACAACATCCTACTTTCTGTCAAGGTCCTGGGGCTAGAGCGATTCAGGCCATATCGGATGGGGCAATGCAACAACGTTGGCCACACAGGAGTCGGTTGGCGGAGAGGATACCGATCTTGGCTGTGGCCGAGACGTGAAAAATTAAGGTCCGGGACCAGATCAACGTTGAAGCGGTATCCGCTCCCGTATCTTGCGAGAGACTTGCGCGTGAGGTCCGGGGTCTGCGATGAGGGGGATGGCTTGGAATCGGCTTGGGCGGGTCGTCGCCGCGGGGATCCATGAGAGAAAATGAGCTTCTTCTTAGTTGCCGGCTGGAGCTGGACGGACGCTATTTAGCGGGCCGTTTGCCTGGGCGGTCAGGACAAGACTCGCAGCCCATCGCCGGTGGTGCCCCCCGCAAGCTTGGCCTCGCCCAGCATGCCCAGCACAACCAGAGCAGAGCACTGGCGGCTGCGGCTACACAGTGAGGCCGTATACACGTGTTCAGACAGAGGCATCACTATATCTGGCCAAGAAGCTTGGTGTTGACGGACATTCATTTCTCCCGCAAGTGTGAATTTCCGGTCGTCCCGCCGCGTCGGCAGCCGTCCGAATCAAGAAAAATGCAGCAGGCAGGCGAGGAGGGGCGCAATATATCCAGGCTTGACCTGTCTTGCGATGGGCTTGGCCTCGACCACCAGGCATCGTGGTTGTCGGTTCGGCCTTTTCCGACTCGGGTCGAGATACGGCTGAAAGCGAGGAGACGTGTCGTTTGCCGAAAAATGCAGTCCCATTGATCCGGGTGTTCTGCTGACCCAAGCAGTGCAGGTGCGATCCCGGCCAACGAGTCAGCGACCAGGCATGGCGAATGAAGACGTGACGGCTGTTGGTGGTCATGCAGGTAAGTGAGCCGAGATACAGTTTGATCTAGATGAAGGCCGTTGGTGCTCCCCACATGGCCAACGAGGGCACGAACTTTCTTCAATGCAGCGAGCGGGTCTGTGACACTCGTTGGCGAACGTAAGCCAAGCGTGCCGAGATCGATTGCGATCAAGATGGCTGAATGCGGTAGGTATAGCGTGGTCGTGTTCCATTTTGTTTCTGATCTTCCTCGACGGCGAGCCGCAGCCGCTCCCGCTATCTCTCACACGGCTATGGCTAAGGAAGAGGCGGATATCCGAAGAGAGAGCCATGGCGGGCCTTCGGAAACGGGTAACGGCGCGCGCAGGGCGTTGAAATAGTCTTGGCGCTAGAAAAGAAGATTTGGTGGCGGTACAGGGAGGAGGAGGAGGCCGGGGGGTTCGTCCAGGATCGAGTTGGTCCTTGGATGCAGAGCAGTTGGTTCAGTGGGCGACAAGAGAGATCCAGGGGTCTGTGGTGCAGGAGGCGAGTACCTGAGCGAACAGGCGAATACAGGGAAGGGCGGCGTGCTGTACAATTAAGGTCAAGCGCGTGGGTTTGGTGGGATGCCCCTGCAGGAGTTTGTGGATCTCTCGGCTGTGAGGGGCAGGCACGCCTGTGCTGGGGCGACCTTCTTCGGGACGAACCTGCCCTCCTTCCAAGACGTCGTTTACGTCTTCCTCTCAAGGTGGCGGTTGCCTCCCTCGATTCGATCCTGCCTCTGCCTGCGCCTGCTCCTGCTTATGCTCCTGCATCTTCACCTGCATCCTCGCTTGTATCTCTACATCCGGATCAGCTCATGTTCTGCTTTCATTTCCTCTGCATCTCACTGCAGCACCTGCCAGCAAGCGAGAGGCGTCATTTCCTTTCCGAGTTTCAGAAGCCTCCCCGGTGGCGATTTGGTCATGTCATGGTGCGGCTTCGATGGCCGGAGGCTGACGACATGTGAGCAAAACGTCCCGTGCGGCCTTTGAGAACGTGTGAATTATCTCCGAAAGGGAGACAGAAACTGACGAGTGAGTTAGGCAAGCGCCGCCAGTCAGATCGCACATGCATCAAGCTGCACCTGTAACTGGCAACAAGACTGGTGTCACCGACGCAGTCATATTGCTGCTGCACTTCCTATTCAATTTTCCAAGCGGATACAAGTCACGTGCACATCACGGAGATCAAGAAGTAATTTCAAAACGATTCATTGTACTACCTAAGCAACAATCACGCCCGCAAGCCATTGAAGCGTGTCCCGGTGGATTGCTTCTCTTGATTACCAGGCCCGGCAGAGTTGAAACCCCAAATCTATCATCCGAGCAGTCGGGTTCCTAGGAGAGCCCGAAGCCTGGAGATGCGAGAGAAGAGAAAGGGGTAGAGAGCAGAGATGTGGAAAAGTGCCACCATTTCTGCTGCTGTTGTCGACGAGCGACCACCTCTTACAGGAAGAGAGCGGCGGCAGCGAAGGCGATGACGCCGAAGCTGGCGATGGCCTTCTCGGCACCGGCAACGACAACGTGGTCACCCTCGGGGTAGACGTTGCCAGTGGGGGTGACGGGCTTGGCGGGGTTGACAGGAGTGACGGGCTTAGCAGGCTGCTGGGGCTGGCCGGGGTACTGGGGCTGGGCAGGGTACTCGGCGGTGTGCTTGTTGTTCCAGGTCTTCTCGTCCTCGGGAGTCCAGGGCTTGACGGGAGCGGGCTTGCAGTCGTGGCACTCCTCCTCGGGCTTGCAGTCCTCACCCTGGCAGTAGACCTTGGTGTGGTGGCACTCATCGCCGTGGCAAGCCTCGTGGCCGCACTCATCGCCATGGCAGACGTAGTTCTTCTTGCACTCATCGCCGTGGCACTGCTCCTCCTCGCAGTGGTCGCCGTAGCAGATGACCTTCTTGTTCCAGTAGTCACCCTCGGAGTGGCGGTCGGTCTCGTACTTGCAAGAGTCGCCAGTGCAGCAGACCTTCTTGTGGCAGTCGTCTCCGTAGCACTCCTCAGCGCGGCAGCGGTCATCGTGGCAGACGACGCGCTTGTTGCACCAGTCACCGAAGCAGGGGTAGTCGAAGGAGCACCAGCCGCCGAAGCAGACGATCTTCTTGAAGCAGTCATCGCCGTAGCAGTGAGCGTCAGGGCCGGGAGTGGGAAGGGGCTTGGGGCAGTAAGGTCCCTGGCAGGGGCCGCAGGTAGGGCAGAAAGTACGAGTGATGGTCTGAGTGGCGGTGACGACGGAGCCAGCGGAGCCAGTGAAGGTGGTGGTGACGGTGTCGGTGACAGTGGTGGTGCCGGTGACAGTGACAGTGCCCTGACCGGGGACGGGCTCGACGAGGACGTAGACAGTGAGGAGGATGCTCAGGGGCAGCTGGCGCTTGGCGACGCCGCCTCCGATGGAGCCACCGCAGGACTGGAGGGCGTTGCCGGGGCACTCAATGTTGCAAGAACCGGGGGCGACAGACTCGGCAGTGCCGAGATCCTCACCGCAGTAGCAGTCGCGGCCGTTGGTACCGGCGAACTTGGTGCCAGTGGGGCAAGAGGCAATGCAGAGCTCGTTGGTCATGGCGCCGGAAGACTCGCCAAGGACAAAGCCGGGGAAGCCGGCGTCAGAGCCAACGCAGCCGAGGAGAGAGTAGCCACCGATGGTGCCGGGGTTGGCGGGGGCACCCGAAGGGCCGGGAGCCATGGAGGAGGCGACGGAAGAGGGGCCGGGAATGTCAGAGCTGACAGACTGGCCAGGAGCCTGGCGCTGATAGACGGGCTGACGAGCAGCGGCCTTGAAGTGGCTGGAAGCCATGGCGGTGGAAGCACCGAGGCCGAAGGCCAGAGCAATGTTGCAGCGCATTGTTGCGGTAGGTTGTTGATGAACGAGTGACTGTTGCTAAAAGAGCGACTGAAAGAGAGAAGAAGACCCCGAAGAGTGTTGAGCGGTGCTCGAGGTTGTTGAGTTGTCGAGTTGAGAGTGTGTGAGGATGAGGATAAGAAAAAGGTTGTTTGATCGAGGGCAGTCCAATGTTATCTTATACTTTCAACACGCCACAGTCTCAACGCGCTCGACTATGGCTGGCCTGGCTGTCTGGGTTGCTTGGGTTGCTGAGCGATTCCCCCTTGGTTGCTGCAAATGTTGCGATCCTCCCTGTGGTCCCGTGGGTCCCAGCACCTCGACCCACGACATGTGCGAAATGAGACGGCATATTTTCGAAGTCTGGCGTCCTCCCAGCCTTCCTCATTGGCAAAGGGAGCCTCAGTCGCCCATCACCTTGTTGTTTGCGGCACGCAGCAGCAAGCCCGGGAATGGATCCGCAGTCGTTGGCACTTGGCGCCTACCAATATGTCTCACTCTGCGCTTCTCGTTCCTGGGGAGAATCCTGCGGAGGGAGGCTCCGTCCCCTTGAGGCGCGCTTGAGTCGGCCAATTGAAGGGAGTTCCACTGCACCAGGATCGGTGTCTCAGGTTCGCGATGTGTGTTTTCATCCAGACGTGGAGGAATGCCATGGCGGGGGGGGGCACCTGGGCTAAGTCGGTCGGCCGTCGCCTTCCCACCCACACCATTTCGCATGTTAGTCAAGGTTCGAGAGCAGTAGCGTCGGGTCTCTATCGGCCTGTATTTGGGCATGACACATGAACTATCAGATCTCTTCGTGCCCTTCCCCGGTGATTCATCTGCCTTACCCCTGGTCTAGGAGCGTCCGCATTCATCCACTTCCCCTGGGCAGGTCTCACGATCCAAGACGGCCATGCCTCGGGCGTGTCTGAGGCTTGACACCCGTGGGAGCCGAGATGAAAATTGATTCCTCATGGTGCCTGAACCTGCTTGTGTGCCTGACTATTGGACGCCGACTTTTCACCCTCATCGCGATCTGTCTTTCACTGCAAAATTGCTTCCGGCGCTTCTCGTGGTGCATGACGTAGTGATGATGGGAGTCCTCGGCGTCGTCGGCATCTCGACGTCCTTGGCCCGCGGCGGCCGTCAGCATCTGCCATCCGAACGCAGATGCAACTATCGTGATGTCCGGACACAGCTAGTAGGACCAGTATCATGGGACAGGTGGTGACCGCTCGTGACGTGATGTGCCTGGTCGTCTCTCTGAAAACGACGGTGACGACCGGCAGCAGCATGGATGGCACGAGTGCAGGCACGTGGTCGACGATGGAAGCTGGACCGGTGTTGTGTCAGCCTCCGAACGTGGGATCCAAGTCATGTGACTGACCTCAGGTATGGCAACAATGCATTGTCCTGCGATTTGGTCAAGCGCGCGTTGTTGCCATCGAGGCCGATGTTGCGTGCTGAGTTTTGAAGAGCTGCTCCGTGTCAGCACGAGCGGTTCTTGCGAGTGATTGAGTCAAATGGAAGACTTGACTCTGCACTGTTCTATTATTGGCGTTGCACCATGTGATCAATCTGTGGAAGGGAAAAGTCTGTGTTAGCAGGTTTCCTGGCGCGAGTACCGTGCAGGAAGCTCCGTGCCTTCCGGTGTTGTGTTGTAGCATCATGTAGTTGAGCTTTCGGCCATTGGCCTGGTTTATACCGTCAGTATACTGCGTAGAGCAATTCATTTGTTGAAGTGAATGATCAAGAGATATTTTGCTGGCCCAGTACGTGGTCGTGTCACCACTATGCGATTGATGGCGTTCGTTCGAGTTGTTTCGTATCAATAAAGCAGGTAGGTAGCCGGGCAACAATGTGATGGCGAAAGGTACCCAGGTAAAATAGTTGATTCACACGATATCTTTTTCATGAATTCATTCATCTCGGCCGGGGTGGTTGTGCTTTTTCGTAAATCGCACCTGTAAGTAGTGACGTTGATGCCTGAGCTGTGATGTAGCTTGACTGAACTTCCGAACAATGATGCATCTCTGTCAGTCACCCACGAACCCAACTCAGGCCTTGAGAATATCATTTGGATCTACTTCCGGAAACTTGATGTCATTCTGCACTTTCATTTACTTGTTCGGTTCTGTTTCCCCTTTTCTGTGTTGAATGTCCGTACTTGTTCGTTCATGAAACTGTGTCTATGTTGATCACACACTCTCTAACACAATTCAACCACCACCGATCACCCGTATATCAGATGGGCAATAACAGCGCTCAAAACACAATAAAATGCTCATTGGGTGTCTGAAATAATTTTACAGCATGGGTATATGTCACCAACTGACCGTCGTGACACTGGAAGCAGCTGAAGCCTTTTCATCATATATATTGGGTTGCAAAGAGATTCTACACGAACAACATCATAAACGCGTGTCGGCGAAGCTCATGGCCAACGTCAGGCTTACTGCGACCAGTAAAATTACGGCAATCAATAAAGGACATGAAGCAAAACCAATTGGAACCGTAGAGACGCGTAATAGGCTCTCAAGCAGACTGATGCTACCATCGCCGTCTTCACGCTGTTCGAGGGGCATCTCAGACCCCGGCCAAGGACCCCGCAATCGACCCAATTGCCCACCGCAATCAGGACCCAGAGCAGCACACCGCCTTTGGCCCGCCCCACTAAAAAAATCGAGATGGCAATTGTGCCGGACATCTGCAGACTACCACCGAACCCAGCAAATCTTTTTCCCATCGGGCCCTCTCTTCACGAATCCAACACCGAAACCATACATCACCCCAACATGGCCGGAACCACAGGCAGGAAGCGGGCGCGCGAGGGCAAGGTCAAGCCCCCGCAACCCACCAAGAAGCAGAAGAGGCAGAACCTGCGCCACTACGACCGGGTTGCCAACGACAGCGAGGAGGAGGAGGAGGGCGCGGGCGCGGGCGACTTCAAGGCCGTCGACCTGCTCGACTCGGACTCGGACGACATCCACAATGCCGCGGCCGACGATGGCGCCGAGTCGGCGGGATCCATCAGCTCCGGCGACGAGGCGCCGCGGGGCGCCCCCGAAGAAAGTGAAGAAGGCCGCCAAGGCAGCGAAACCAACGAAGCGCTCGGCCGCCGCCGAGGCGCAGAAGCAGACCGCGGGCTCCGAAGCAGACGACAATGAAGACAACGACGCCCAGAGCGCGTCGGGCTCGGAGGATGACGACGACGACGACGACGACACGGAGGAACTCCCTCTCCGACAACGAGGGCAACCTCCACGCGGCGCGCCGCGACACCAAGTCGAGACGTAACGACCCGACGGCCTTCTCGACGTCCATTTCCAAGATCCTGAGCACCAAGCTGCCGAGCTCGCGCCGTGCCGACC